AGCACCTTCCGCGTCGCGCTCGCCGCCGACGCCGAGGGCAACCTGCGCATCGCCCAGGCGTGGAGCGACAAGATCCGCGAGCTGGCGGCGCCGCCGCTGCCGCGGCTGCACGGTGAGTGCCGGGCCCGGGCGGCCCCGGGCGCACCGGGAGTGCCGGGCCCGGGAGCACGGTGAGTGCCGGGCCCGCCGCGCGGGGCGCCGGCTGCGCTGGGCACGGAGGGGACGGTCCTGCCCGTCCCGGCTCCTGCCGCTCTCCCCAAGGGCCCCGCGCGATGCGGCCGGGGGGGTGCCCGGCCTGCCCCCCAGCCCCGCTCCTGCTCGCTGCCCCCCTCGCGCTGGGCCCCCACTGCGCCCCCGGGCACCCCGAAGTGCCAGCGGCTCCCCGGGCTGCGCGTGTCCCCGCAGAGGGTTGCGGAGGGCTTGGGGAGGGAGAGGGCGCCTGGCTCGGCGCTGTCGCCCGCTGCAGCGCGGGCCCGGCTTGGGAAGCTGCGGGATGTGGAGGTCTCTGAGCAGGAACCTGGGGCTGCTCCGGCCTCCAGGCGCTGGCAGCTCCAAAGGCCCCGGGGGCTGCACGTGGGGGCTGCTCCGAGACTGCACCCAGGGGGTCCCTGAGGCAGGATGGGCTGCGAGCGCATCCAGGCAGGGAGCTGAGCCAGGGCAGGGGCCTCATCCGCGCTGCCAGCCCTCGGGGTGGTGGGACTTTGACCCCCTGCTTCAACACTTCAGGTTGATAAGTAGCAAAACAGCATGAACAGCAAAAAAGGAAAAAAAAAAAAAAAAAAAGAAAAGGTTCCTGGTGTCAGCAAACAGAGCCAGCCCCAACAGGCTGCATCCAGCACCCGGGAACAGCGAATCCCTCGGGACAACGGGGCGCCCTGGAGCAGGGGAGGTGGCGCCAGGCAGGCCAGGCTGCCGTATCTGCGGGCATCTGAGCACAGATGCAATTATATGCGCTGCTTCATTTATTTAGCTGTCCAGTCGCACTGATCAGACTTGGAAATTAAGAGGCRTGCGGTTAGAGGGATCCTGTCAAACCGCATTTAGCCCAGCTCTCACCACTCGTGTTTTAAAATGTGGCTCTTAAAAWTTTTTATTTATTTATTTACATGACCCACAGCTACAAAACATCTTCTCTTCTTGGTAAACAAGGAGGAAAAAAAAAATGTAATCTGGCAAAAAATGGGCAACAGCAAGACCGGTTCCCGTCTGTGCGAGCTCCACAGCTGCACGGCCCCCGGTGCCACCAGTGCCTCGTGCCGGGCGTGGGGACATGGGTGACATGGAAGGCAGAGGGCAGCGAGGATTTTGCAGGGCCTGCAGGATTCGCCGACCTCCTTGCCGGGTTCGRGGCAGAGGGGAAAGCGCCTCTGCCCGCACCCTGCGCCGCGGTCACGTGCGGTGCCTATCTCGCCGCCCGCGCCTCCCTGTGCGGGGCAGATAAGGCCCTGCGGGTCTGTGCGGAGGCCGTGCTGCCCTGCTCGTGCCCGCAGCATCCGAGCAAGGGAGCAGAGGGCGATTCCTTCCCTGCATTTATTAACGTATCCTTGGAGGAAAGCTCTGCAGCTGGGGCCGGTCGCCTCCCTTGTTTCTCGGTCCAGATAAAACCCCCCCGAGTAGTTACTGAGCGTGAACGCGCTGGGCACGAGGCAGCCCGGGAATAGGGAAGCGAATCCGAGGCGCCCTGCAGCTGCCCTCGCGGGGCCCGTGCGCGCTGGCACGTCGCRATGTGGCCATGGGGGCCGGGAGCCGGCCGCAGCCTCCAGCCGTGGCCAGCGCGGCCCCACGGCGAGCGGGAGGCCGCTCCCGGCCGCAGGGCACCGCGTGTGGCAACGGGCTGCAAGGCCAAAGGAGCTTCGCTTTAGCTCACGGCGGCTGCTGTGCGAATGGGAACGGGCACCCCGTGCACAGAGCGGGCAGCTGTGTCTGCTGGCGCTCCTGGCACGTTTGTGCCCGGTCCTGGAGCAGTGCGCGTCGCGGGGGGACGTGCGGCAGGAGGAGGATGCAGGGACCTCGCGAGCTGTGAGCTCCTGTCACCCTGTGCTGCCCGCCGGCCCCAGCGGGGATCTGGAGTCGTTCTGGGAAGTGCCTGGCCCTCGCCAAGGGGCCGGGCATTGCATGAGGTGGAGGGATGTGTCTACCGGACACCCATCCTGYGGCCAGGATCTGGCACCCACCTCTCCATGACTGTTTTCCATCCTGGCCCTGGACAGATGCCTCAGGGATGGAGCTGAACATCCCTCTGTGCTGGAGCACGTGCTTGCTGCCTTCCCCAGGCAGGAGCAGCCCTGTCGGCGGCTCTGCACGTGCTGGGTGGGAGCTTTCACAGTCCTGCTTGGGCTCCGTGAGWGCTGCGCTCCGGCCCCGGGCTCTGCATCCTCCGGGAAGGAGGAGAAGAGAGAGCCGGCGGGCGCTCCCGGGAGCGGGATGCGCCGGGACTCCCCGTCGCGGCGTCTGGCAGCCCCAGATAAGGAGGCGGGAAGGAAGGGGGGGCTGCGGGGCCACGCGCAGAGTCCTGCACCGGGGCCGCGGCCGCTGCGCTGCCCTCGGCCCCGAACCCCCCGTCCCCGGCACCCGCCCCAAGGACACAACCCCAACAGCCGTGCGTCTCCCGCCGCCCGAGCGCGGGGCCCGCGGCCTTCACACGAGGAGACCTTGAGCAAGCGCTTGGCGGCGGCTCCCGCACCGGCCTCGCGGGCCCGGCCACGCTCCGGCCCCTTCCCGTCATCCCTCCGCCCTGTCCGCTGCCTGCAGCTGCACGGCAGCCCCGGTTGTGGGGCTGGACACGTGGCAGCCCCAGCGCTGCGTGGCCAGAGAGGGCCCCGCGGGACCACGGGTGTGGAGAGACAGCAGCCCTGGCCAGGCCCCCGTTGCAGAAGAGCCAGGGCTGGGGGACACAAACCCAGGGCTGGGGGACACAAACCCAGGGCTGTGGAGCGGGAGGAGTGTCCACGTGTGCTGGCCCCGCTGCCGCTCCGGGGCTGGGTGCACCGTGGCCGGAGCGTAGGGAAGCGCCGCCGCCCCGATGAGCCGGGAATGGCCCCCGCGCGCTGTGGAGGACACGTCCCAGCCCTTCGCGTGCCCCGTGTCCCCGCGCTGAGCACGCCCTCGTGTTCCCCGCCAGGCCTCAGCTATGGGCTGCTGCCCCGGCCCTGCCGCGCGCTGGTGCTGCTGAACCCGCTGAGCGGCCCCGGCCTCGCGCTCAAGGACTTCCATGCGCTCGTGCAGCCCATGCTGGCTGAAGCCGACATCGCCGCCACCGTCTTCATCACAGGTAAACGCCCAGGGTGGCTCCCAGGGGCACCCGAGCCGGGGAGAGCTGCCTGCATGGCCCCTGCGGGACAGGGGGAGCTGGCCACGAGGACACGCGCCAACCTCAGTGCCCACCGCAGCGAGGGGCTGCCAGGCTCCTGCTGACCCTTCATCCGCTACCTGGGCACCGCCAGGCCGGCRCAGCCTCCTCCGCGGCCACTCAGAGCGGGTCTGTGGTGCCAGGCACAGGGTGGTCCTGGGTGGCACCCGAGCGAGCAGGATGGGGTGGCAGCCGCTGTCTTTGCTGCCGTGAYGGCCTGGGCTGATTCCCACCACACTCAACGCTCTCCTCCCCAGAGAGAGCCCAGCACGCCCATGAGAAGGTGCGGGAGGAGGACCTGTCGCAGTGGGACACCTTGGTGGTCATGTCTGGAGATGGTCTCCTCCATGAGGTGAGGGGGATGGAGAGGGAACGGGGACGGGAGGCGAGCGCTGCCCCCCACGTGGGTGCTGTGGAGGAGGAGGGGAGCAGGGAAAGGCACCGGAGGGACCAACGCTTCTTCCCTGGCGCAGGTGGTGAACGGGCTCATGGAGCGGCCGGACTGGGAGGCCGCCCTGACGAAGCCGCTGTGCATCCTGCCCGGGGGCTCCGGCAACGCGCTGGCCGCCTCCATCAACCACTACGCGGGGTGAGCGCGGCGCCCGGGCCCTGTGGGCAGCGGGGCCAACCCGGAGACCTTCTCCCCCTTTGCTCCTCTCGAGGCGSTGGATCTGGCACGTTTCCACCCCCTGCGCTGCTCTAGCAGCCCCAAGTCAGACCCGTTTTGGAGAGCTGCTTTATCCCCCCCAACCCTGCAAACCCAACGCCCCGCCACACCAAGCAGGGATACCCAAGGGAGTTGTCACCTGTATGGGACCCATCCTGACCCTTCCCCATGTGGCCTACACACAGGCAGAGCACAGCGGGTGCCCTGAGCACCCTGGCTGTGCTGTGGGCATCYCGGGGGTGGCTGTCGTGGGACTCCAGCCCAAACTCACCCTCCTCTCACCCACTCCGCAGCAACGAGCAGGTCTCGAAGCAYGAGCTGTTGACCAACTGCACCTTCATCCTCTGCAAGGGACTGCACACGCAGATGGACCTCGTCTCGCTGAACACGGCCTCGGGCAAGCGCCTCTTCTCCTTCCTCAGCTTCGGCTGGGGCTTCATCTCCGACGTGGACATCGCGAGCGAGAAGTACCGCAAGCTGGGCAATGCCCGCTTCACGCTGGGCACCCTGCAGCACCTGGCSCGGCTCCAGCTGTACCGGGGCCGCCTCTCCTACCTGCCCGCGGACGCTGCCGCCAGCGCCGCGCCGGACGAGCCGCTCGTCGCCAACGGGCACGTGGGCTGCGCCGGCCCGCCGGCGGGGACGGAGGCGCCGGGCGCGCGGGCGCAGGGGGCTCTGCCCGAGGACTCGCTGCTGGTGCCGCTGCAGCAGCCCGTGCCGGAGCACTGGACCGTGGTGCCCGAGGAGGAGTTTGTCTTCGTCTACGCCATCTACCAGTCCCACCTGGGCTCCGACCTGCTCATGGCGCCTGCGGCGCGGCTGCACGACGGCCGCATCCACCTCTTCTTCCTCAAGGCCGGCGTCACRCGCGTGATGCTGCTCAAGCTCTTCCTGGCCATGGAGAAGGGGACGCACTTGGACGTGAACTGCCCGCACCTGCGCTACGTGCCCGTGCGGGCCTTCCGGCTGGAGCCGCGCACCGGCGYGGGCGTCATGACGGTGGACGGCGAGGCGCTCGCGTGCGAGCCCGTGCAGGCGCAGATCCACGCGCGCCTCTGCCGCGTGCTCTGCGGCTCCTGAGCGCCGGCCCCGCGCCCCTCGCGCAGCGCTGAGCCGCGGGCACGACCCGCCACGAGGGCGCCACGGCCTTCCTCCCACTCAGGAACACCTTCCTCCTCCTCCTCCCGTAGCAATAGCTCTCAGGGGCCGGGGGCCCGCGCCGGGCGCTCTGCCCTCTCTGCACTTTATGGAGACCAGGATAGCTTTACCCCGCGGGGCAGGGGAGCCACCAGCCCCATCAGGTACCGGGGCCGCCCGCCAGCCCCTTTTCTTACTCGTTTTGTGTTTCACGTGGTACGAGGTCCTGAGCCCTGCGCCGCGCACAGCCCCGCTCCGACGCACACGCTGCGCTCACCGGCTCCGCGCCACGGGGCTGGGCTGCTCAGGACCAACATCTATGCCAGGACATCCAACTACTGTTTTTTGTTTGTTTTTTTCTTTTTTAAGAAGAGACTGTTTATAATCAAAGCTTCCCCCTAGAAGCAGAGTTTATTCTTGTGAGAAATGCAATAAAATCTACAGTTTGCAAAAAAAAAAAAAACAAAAAACTACCGGGTTTTACATCTACCCTCGACTCTCCCTCCATAGACAGATGAGCGCCTTTCCTGTCGCCCCCATCACCTCTGCCCCTTAAGCCCCTTTGCACAGCCTGAGGACGTGGTGCTGGTGCCAGCCCTGCAGCAGGTGGATAAAACAGCCCTTTTGGGATAAAAGAGCAGCATTTCAACCTCCCTTGCAGTACTGGAGTCCAAAGGGGGTGGGTAAGAGCTGCTTGTTGCCTTCATTCCGCTGCAGACTCTGCAATGAGGAGAGCCTATCCGGGGAAGAGGCGCCTGCTTGTTGGGGCTGGCAGGGGGACGCAGTGGGTATTTTTGGGCCAGGGAGGAAGGCAGCAGCCACGAACCCAGGCCCCAAAATAAAGCCAGGAACCCGGGCCCCAAAATAAAGCCAGGAACCCGGGCCCCAAAATAAAGCCAGGAACCCAGGCCCCAAAATAAAGCCAGGAACCCGGGCCCCAAAATAAAGTAGTTTCCCCCATGGCAGAGAGGTGTAAAACCAGAGCAAGGGCTGCTCTGCTGAACCCTCCAACCGCCTACCGCTGCTCTTGGGAAGAGGACGAGGAGGCTGGCGAGGAAGGACCCAAGCGCAGGCCAGAAGGATAAGAAAAAAGGACAACAGCCAGAACTTACTCACAGAGGCAAAATTTAATGGCAAGTCATCTTCCCTCCTTTATTACACCTTGGTTAGCCAAACAAAACGAAAAAAAATCTGCAGGTAAAAAAAGTTTTAATGGTCACACAGCACTTTATACATATATCGTAAGCAACCAAGCATCCACATCTGCACGTGAACAACACACCTCTAAGCATGGCCTCAATAGTCGGGTCTTTTTTTTTTTTTTCTCATTTAAATACTGTACAGAATCAAGGCTACAAACTGATTTTCTTATGCTTCTTCCCCAACCCCAGCACTTAAAACAGTTACAGGCTGCTCTTATCTATACATCACACAGTCATGTAGCCAGTTTTAAGGCTAACAATATGCATCATGCTTTGGCTTTTTTTTTTTTGTGTGTTTTTAATTTTTTTTTTTAAGGTTTTAGCCTTTTAAATTTTGTTACCCTTAAATATTACATACATACACAAAAAAATTACATAGCTGCAGTGTGCTCACCACCAACCTCTTCACCCAGGAGCTTCACATTATCCAAAGCCTTAGAAGATCTGTAAGCCTCTGTGGCTGCTGCGCGTGGGGACAGCGGGGTGGTGGCCGCAGCGCACGTCCCCTTCCAGGCGGCCCGCGGGGCGCCAAGCCCCAGGGCCTCGTGCAGCAGCTCTTGGCTACGATCAGAGGAAACAAAGACATCTCTGGGTGCAGGGGAGGCCTGGCCGGGCAGGGGAGCCCGGGGGCTCCCCGCCATCCTCCCCGCTGGGCTGGCAGCGCCACCGTCCCCACTGGAGCCCTGTGAGATGAGGACTGCCGAGAGCAGCGGGCAGGGAAAGCGGCGCCACCTCCGCCGCCCACCCCAGCCCTGGAAACGGCTCCAGCAGGTGGCTAATGGGCTGTCCCCAACCGCGTCACCTCTACCACGGGGGCCACCCCGCTCCCTGCGTGGGGAACGGGGGCAAGGAGCATGGCGGACAGAGGAACTGAGCGTCTGTAGGTCACTGAGTGGGAATATGTCCAGTGAGAGGGTTAGCGGCGGGTGGACCAAGCCCTGCTGCCTTCCCCTGCCCTCGCCACGAAGCAGCAGCCGCCCCCGGGCGCTCCTCAGCATTCCGGAGTCCCGCTTGCTCCGGGCCGCCCGCGCGGCRCACAGGGGGCAGGGAGAAGCAGCGACTCCGGTCGTGCGCTCGTGCCCAGAGCCACGTGTAGGTATGGGGTGAGCAGGGCGAGAGGCAGCGGGCGCAGGGAGCGCAGCGCCGGGACCACCGAGGCCGGCTGCTTTAGAGCCCGGCCCTGGGAGCAGCACAGAGCCCTGGGCACGGGCAGCGGGAGGAGCCGGCGGCGGCTCCGGGGCMGGGATGAGGGGTCCGAGCGCAGCCCGGTCTAGCAGGGCGGCACGAGCAGCACGTCCGTGCGCCAGGCCACAGCGCCTCTCCCTGCCACCCGGGCACCCCACGCAGCCGCCGCTGAACCCGGCCTAACCGCGGGGCCAAGGCAGCAGTGCTGGAGCACCGCGGCCCAGCTCCAGAGGTGACAGTAAGGGCACACACACAAAGAGACTGCAGCGAGGTGTCCTGCCCAGGAGACCCTGGCTCTGATAACTTACTGCTTCAAAGTGCTCAGGGGCCCCAGCTGAGGCAGCTTTCTTGCTGCTGAAGCATGGGTTGGTCTTGCCAGCCCTTTCCCACGGTGACGTTCCAGCTCTGCAGTCCAGGCTGAGGATGTTCTGCGCTGTCCCCGCGCTGCTATGTGGGATTCGGGACAGGGCAGGGAAGGGCTGGYGAGGGAAGGAGTTGCTAACAGTCCGCAGCAGCGTCTGATGTGCCCCAGTTACTGGCTGAGCAACAGCACAGGAACGGTCACAAACTGCTGCTGCTGCAACAGGACYGGGTGAGGAGACAAGAAATCCCTTCCCCTCAGCAACCCTGGCTCCAGCAGCTCCGACATACCCATCTACAGCCCAAGGCTGGAGAAGCAGCAGGCAGAGCAAGCTCAACACCGGGACGAGCTGCTAGATCTACAACACACCCAAGATCGCTCTTCACCTCCTAGCCAGGCGAGGCTGAGATCGCAGGGGCACCTGTAGTGCTGTGTGACAGCCACGACGGCTGGGAATGAACGATTCAGATACCTAAGCAAATACCAAGGGCAGAACCCTGAATCCTGTGTATTTCTAGAAGACAGGCATGCATGGTAGGGAAAGGGAAATTTGCCTTATTCTTGGAGAAGAAGGGGGGATGCCTAGAATTGCTTCYAGGAGAGCAAGCAGAAGACACAGAACCAGATGGAAACCCCGCAGCACCATCAGGGCCAAACAAGTTCTAGCGCAGGGCTCTCACTCTGCTAATCAAGTCCCCATCAAGAACCTTGTAGCTATCAGTGAACAACTAAGACTACAGCAACTCTGTATGGTGGAGACAACTTCAAACACAATCCAATGTCTAAGTACATATAAGCTGGGGTAGACTTTATAAAACCCATGGTAATGCAGAGGGGGGGGAAAAAAAAAATACTGGGAGGGCATTGCCCTTCATCTCCAGATAGTTCTCCTGGCTGGAACCCCAACAGAACAAACTGCTGGGGGTAGCGCTGGGTGGGAAGAGTCTTKGTGTGGAAAGGTGCCCCAAGATGAAAGTGCAGAGGGAATGTGGCTGCAAGACTGCTTCTGTGCAGGTCTCAAATCTTACCATTGCAGGATCAAACTCGCAAGAGGAGCACGGACATAGGGCAGGGAGGAAGGAAGAATGGCTGGGGGCAAAGAGTTATTCATGCTTAGACAACCTTTCCTTGGAGGAGCAATCAGGCCTACCACCTTCTTTGGAACAAACCAAGCTGAGGAAGAAAAGCTGGAAGGACAAGCCAGTTTACTGGTAACAGTGTTTGCCAATTTCCTTTCTGCTGCTTTCCCTTCTCCCCTGCACCTGCCTGTCCCTAACCTGATGGTTTATTTGTCCTCTGTCCACTCTGGGATATTGGCCCCTGCTAAGGCAGCCCGGTACTGCTGCAAGACACCACGGATGCTTTTAATGAACCCCTTGGACAAAGGGAAGAGGGGGAACCCAATATCGGGGTAACCGCTCTTCTCTGGAAGGAAACTCCTGTAGCTCTTCCTCCTTTTCTTTGGTTTCACACTAGGCTGCAAGGCAGAGTCCTGAGCAGCCTTCCCCTCGTCCGTTCGGTCTCTGGCCAGGTCTACCTCCCTGGCTTGGCCTGTGCTCTCCGAGTCTGAGTACTGGTGGAGATCACCGGCGTTGGGCGTCGAGGTTGTGAACTCCGACTCATCCAGCTCCTCCTTCCCATCCAGGGCCGAGTCGGAAAACTCGGCGGCCGCCCCCTGCTCCGCAGAGCTGCCGTACTCCCCCAGTAACTCGGCGCCGTCTCCCGGGCTCTCGGAGAGCGTGCCGCACGCCGACAGCAGCGAGGTGGAATCCGCCCCGTTGGCCTGTTCGTGGCTCCGCTCCACCAGCTCGTTGGTCTCCAGCCAGGACTCGATGCGGGACACGAGGCGCCAACCGTTGCAGCGGAAATGCTCGCGGATTTCGTGCTCAAAGACTTCCACGGGCCTGCGCAGCAGCTGCATCATGGACTGCACCACGCGGATCAGGGTCATCTCGTTGTAGCAGCGGCTGTTCTCGTAGCCCTCCTGAAGGCCACGGTCGCTGTCAAACCCTGCCTCGTTGTAATAGGGCTCGTTCACCAGGATAAGACCTGCCAGGAGAAAGAGAGCAACAGGTTAGAGGAGGAACTTTGCTCGGAATCGTTATCTGCAGGGGAATTGATTTTTCCAACGTGTTTGAGGTTCGAGGGTCACTGCTCTGTCTCCTCCAGCACGCTGGTGCAAATAGCCCGCGGCT